TTTCTCCGCAAAGTGACCATTCTCATCGTGGAAGTAGGCTACAGCTTCGCCTCTCAACGCAGTAGGAACGATGGCTACACAACGGACGGGAGTCAGTGGGTCTGTCTTCAAAAGGCGAACAAGAACACCTTCACAGACATCCAGAACCGACCAAATACGCCTATAGGGCATATATAGACGAGAAGTGAATTCCTTACGACCCAAAGGAGCATCCACTAAGACGCGATCACGAACCTCGCAAACCACATGGTCTTGTTCTTGAGCTTCTCGAAGTTTATCCCATGACCATAACGGACATAAAACCACTGCGGCAATCAGGGGATCCTTCATAGTGTCAGGTAACAAGCCTGACAGTTCCGGATCTTCTGCAACCACCACAGAATCTGGAGGAACAACCTCGAGATTTGAACGGACGGGACAAGACTTAGTAGGAATAGGGGCCTTGGATTCAACTTGCAGTTGTGGTCGGGACAAGGCGTCGGCATTAATATTCTTAACACCTTCTTTGTAACGGACTTCAAAGCGGAAGTTTTGCATAGCCAGCAACCAACGTTCAACTCGTGGGGACTTCGACTTAGCCAACTGTTGTAAGGGCCGATGATCAGAGAATACCGTGACCTTGAACGGAGTATCCAGTAAGTAGTGACGAAATTTTTCCAGCGAACGGACCAGTGCATAACCTTCTTTCTCATACGTGTGCCAACGAAGCTGAGCACCCGTAAGAACTTGAGAAAAGAACGCTAGCGGACGATGTTCTTGTTCCAAGACAGAACCAATAGCAAAGTCACTTGCATCACAACATAACTGGAAAGGGGCGTCAAAGTCAGGGTAGGCGAGAGCGGGCAAACCGGCCAGGGCCGAACGAAGGGCCTCAAAGGAACGCTGTTGATCTTCTTTCCAATGTAAGCGAATAGTGTCGGGTTGGTCGGCACACAAGCTGACCAAATCCTGCACTGGCTTGGCCATAGCCGTGAAACGTGGAATAAAAGAACGGTAATAGCCAACCAGTCCCATAAACCGCCTCACATCACGAACTGTCTCAGGTAGTGGCCATTCCATTATACAACGGACACGGTCAGGATCGGGACGCATACCAAACTTGTCATAAATATGGCCCAAGTAGGATATCTCCTCCATGGCAAAG